ATACAGCCGTGGTGGTTTTTTTTTTAATAATTTATTTAATAATATATCAAAACGATTTTTTATTTTTAAAAAGTTATTTTTAACATGATAATAACGTGAAAGAAATAAAAAGTATTAATTTAAAATAAAAAATTTTAAAAAAATCAATTTTTTTCAAAATTACTTCTAAAGTACAAAAATAAAGAAGACAGCTTGTTTCATTTATATAGGTCTTATAGGTTAACTGTTTTTAACCCCAGTCAACTGTTATTATTAAAAGTATTTTATTTCTCTTTAAACTCTTCTTCTTATCCCTTTTTTATGTGGGAAAAAAAAAAGAAAACTTTTGATGAATGACTTTAATTAGGTAGGTGGAAACTAATTTTTTGTTGTCCCTTGAAATATTTACAGAAGAAGGTGACAATGAATGAACTTTTGTACAATTATGCTTATATTCATGTGTTAGAAAATCAACATATATTCACTTACCATGTCATGCAAATGAAGAAAAAAATAATTGATAGGCTTTGATCCTGAGCGCCTGAGAGGCCAAACAAAGAGCATTGACAGCACAGTGAAGGCAAACACAGTTGCATTGACACCAAGTAAAAACCTGCAGAATAACCCAGAAGCAAAAAGGCTTAGCATATCTCCTGTCTAGCTAATTATAATACGTGCTTAAAAGTTCTCAAAACCCCACAAAATCAAAGAATATATATGTTTAGTGTGTAATTACTTCATGGCAGAACTTTGTTTGTAACTTGGTGTAATGGCCAGCCCGAGAAGGGAGACTGGCTCCTTTGCAGTGATCATTACGGGAATAGCAGTCATAGTGGAAGTAATGGCTAAGAACCTCAGTGTAATTTGAGCCATGATGAGACTTCTCTGTGATTGACTCACGGTTGGCATGCCTCCTGGAGAGTTGGCTTGGAAAAAACCTTTTTCTGAAGTATTCTGTGGAGAAGCCATGGAAAAAAAACCCACTCTGCTGTAGATTCTGAACAACAAAACAAAAAAGCCGGAGAGCAAATAGAGGATGAAATCAAGGGAGCAAAAGGGGATGTCACTACAGAGAAAAAAAGGTGTTTTATGGGGATGCTTCCTGGTTAAAAACTAAGGACGATAACCTAGTTTGATCTAAAGCTTCTGCAATCAGTAATAAATATGTGAAGAAAACCCACCCACCCACGAAGTGACAGGTCAGGAAAATCAAAGCAGATGCCAGCCCACAAGGAATCCTTGAAGAAGAAGGAATTGTCTCTCTACTTTTCGGAATTGCATATCCTTTTCTGTTTCCAATTAAACAAAATTCAGTTTTTTTTAGAATAATCAAAATTTAGTTTAAAAACTCATAAGAATATTTGTAATAATGAAATGGGTAAATGCCAATCTTACCAAATATTTAATCTCTGGGAAATCACTTTATAGAAAAAGTCTTATGCGTGGAATAAGTGCGTCTTATTAGTGTTTATTATAAATCTAATATTTGAAATATTTTAGAAAAAACGTTTAATCATTGTACCATTTTCTTCCCCTCTTGTGAGCCGAGACTTAGGTCAACCGTTGAACATCACTATCTAAATATATTTATTTTACTTTAATGGTTGTTGGACCATGATAAAATTAAAAAGTCAATTATTTGAATAGAAATAAATGATATCACTTATTTAATATATATATATTAAATAAGTGTTATTTTATATGGTAATATTTTCAATTGTTAACATTAAATTATATAAAAAATAATAATCAATGGAGCTAAAAACTTATCAGCTACGTAAATATAGATACGGATTAAATACCAAAATAAATAACTAAATGAAACGATCCTTTCAATAATAATAATAATAATAAATTAGTCATGAACACATTTTTGAATAATCGAAGGACATTTGTTAATAAAGGTTAGTTATGTTGTTTCTTTCTTGATTAGTATGATTGATGATTTATTTATTAATTATTGTGATAAACCACCTTCCATTTGCTTTTTTCTTCTTATTTTTATCCAATTTGTGCTCACAGGATATCTGTTCGGTGAAGAAATTGTTTGATGAATTATTGATAAATTGTTAAAAAAAATTTATATTATTATTAGGGGTTAAAGATTTGTAGCAAGAGTTGAAATCTCCAAAATAGAATCCTCTTACTCGTAGGAAAATTAAAATAAAAATCCTCCAACTCTTAACCCACCATGAAAAATAATATTTTAATTTAAATATATAAAAATGAAGGTAACCTGTACTTTTCTCTTTATATATATATATAATTATATATTATTCGAGTTCAAGCAAGAGGCTACTTCCAAAACACTATAAAAGTAATTGAATTTGATTAAACATGTAGACAGCTACAGGGCAATTGTCAAAAGTTTTTTTTTTTTTTTAAAAAAATAAGACAATAGGATTATATTCACGAAGGGCCTAAATACCCAATTGCACAAATATGGGACTAGAATGTTTGATAATGTTCAGAGCCGATCTCAAACAAATTAAGCACAATAAAACAAACCCAAGTAATTGTATTTAAAGGTCTAACACAACATTAAAGAATAGATATAAATTAATGAGATATAAATATTTTTTTTGAAAAAGATAAAAATAAAATTATAAAAATAAATCTATTTTTTTAAAGTGAATTTTCCATTTTAAAACAAGAAAAATACGAAAATATATCTTCTTTTATCCTAGTTATTTCTCTTTATTTTATTTCAAAACAATAATCAAACACAAGCTCAAATTATTAGATACACAAGCTCCTTTTATCACATAACAATGGAATCCAAGTTTCTACATAAATAGGAGAGCATATATAACTACCACATAGTAGATTACTTCTCACGACATAAACCCAGCTCGACAAGGATATCCATGAAGGTATCAATCAATCAAGCTCCACTTGCCTGTGAAAGTAGTTTAGGACTTTCATGCCCGAAAATATGCATCAATCAACTCCTTTGAAAAGCTGTAAATAGAGAGCAATTTCTTGAATGATAAGAAGATGAATTTTCAAGATAAAAATGAGATTTCTAATCCCAAGTTAACTATTTTTTTTGCTTTTACATAATTTAACTGAAAAGCTGGACATGACAAGGATTGTAAAAAAAAAAACACTTGTTAATACAACACAAAATCTTATAATTTTATTTGAAAATAAATCAAGAAAATTAACAAATTCATTTATTTAAATGAAATTATTTATGTGTGTGTGTGTGTAAACCTTAAGGAGAAGGATAAATTATTATAGTTCAAGAGACATTTCAACATTAATTAGAATAGTGAAATAACACAATTGTCCCTCACTAAAAAAAATTACTTTGAACTAAGCATTATAGGCATTTTTATTTTTCATCATGATATAATTGTTTTTTTTTAATAAATTGTGTGTAGTTTGGTTATTTTTTTATTGTACAATAAAATTACTAATATAACATAGCATAAAAAAAATAATGATTCTAACTCATTTATCTTTTTATTGTACAATAAAATTACAAGTTAGTATGTGGGGCCTTCATATTATTTAAACAGCATATGCGAGATTATCCGACCATCAAATATCATCTTTTAAGACAATATTAAAAAAATCACTCCATTTTCTTCATAATGACGTGGTATTTAAACCAAACACACATCTAATTTAGTGCTAATTGCCATTTTTCTTCTTCTTCTTTTTCTCCTCTTTGAATTCATTGTCAACCCCTTCAAAAGTTTAGACAAACCCTTTCAATTTTTTTTCTTCATATTTGGTCTCTATCCTTTTATTACTAGTTTTTTTATTTTATTTGAATAAGCTATAAAATTAAAAATGTTCTTTCAATTTTACCTCTCTTTCATTTTCAATCTTTTAAATCTGGTATTTATTATATTAAATTCTATTTTTTATTTTGAATTAGATATAAAAAAATAATTTCTCCCCCCTTTTATTTTTTTTTAATCTTTCAATTTTGGTCATCATTTTTTTCATTACTATTTATCTTTATTATGCTCATTTTTTAGATATTATTTTACAATTTCATCCTTTATATTTTTTTAATCAAATTTGATCCCTATTATTTTTATTGCTATATTTTTTAATTTGATAACTTTTTTAAATTGATTTTCTTTCACGATTTCATCCTTCAAAATTAAATTGGCTAAGAATTAAATTTTTTGGTTGAACTTAAGTCAAGAATTTTATAGTTTGTGAGTTTTAGAGATTATACCGGGTGTAGAAGATTTACACTAGCTGGCTTGTTTTTTTAAAAAAAAAGAAGAAGAAAAAGCTAATGTTTTTTTCACTCTTAGTTTAGTGTTTTTTTTTTTTTTTTATGATTTGTCTTCTCAAAGATTAGTCACGGATTCATAAACAAAATCATTAATTTCAAATGGTGATATGGGTAGACTTTTGTTTTATGGGTTTTTTTGTAAAATTGATTTATTTCAATTTTATTCTTCAATATTTTATTTATTTAAAATTGATATTCCTACCTTTTTTTTTCTTTTTTTTCTATTGAGTTATTTTAATCTTGTGTCTATGATCACAGAGCTTGCAAGTTAACCTGGGTTAACTCAGATTATTTTTCATTGTTATGAGTTTATGACCAGAGTCACTAATTAATAGGTTGATGCATACTGACTTTTTTAAATAATTTTTTTTTAAATTGACTTATTTCAATTTCAACCTTCAATATTTGATTTATTAGAAATTGGCTGCATATTTTTTTTCCTTTCCTCTCTATTGGATTATCTTAATTTTGTATCCATGGTTGCGAGGTTTGCAGGTTAACTTGGTTTGATTTTTATTTTTTTTATTGCTTTTTTAAATAATTTTTTTTTATTTTCATCCTTCAATAATGAGTTGTTTAATAATTAAGTTTCATAATTTTATTCATTTTTATTTCAAACATGGTTATCCTAGTATCATGACCAGTCAAATATTTTTCATCTTGAATCGAGTAGCCTCAGATCGAGTTTTTTCTACCTTTTTTTAATTATGTATTTTTAAAAAAAAAATCATCCAATTGAGCTTCAACTTCTTTTTTTTTCATTTTTCTTTCTTTTGAGTTATCATATTCTTATTTGATTTATTAGAAATTGATATCAAAACTTGTTTTTTCTATATTTCTTTATATGAGATTATCTCAATCTTGTGTCTATGGTTATAGAGTTTATAAGCTAACCTTGTTTTTTTTGTTATTTTTTTTTTAGTTTTACTTTTCAACATTAAGTTGTTTGATAATTAAATACGCTTAATTTAATTATTTTTGTCTTTTTTTGTCACCTTTTATCTTTAATTATTTATTGTTGTATTTTTTAATCATGTTATTTAAATTACCAATTGAATCAATTACGTGCACCTTATATTTTTTTTTCTTGGCATTATTATTTTATGTTGAAAAAAGTTTTTTCCCAGCCCATGACAGAACCTGAACCATAAATCTAATATCCAAAAAAAAAATTGCATTTCTAAATTAAAGTTTTTTAAAAAATGCAAATTAAAAAAGCCAACAGAGTTAGCCAGTAGGGAAATTGTTGGCCCAACTCAATGGGCCAAACTTGCTCAGCTAACATGATTTATTATTTTTTAATATATTGGGCATACGATGCATTATTCACCTTTTAAAAAAAAAAAAAATATCAAGCGACACATCTCCTACTATGATAGACGACACTATTTATTGGATCACTTTATGGCTATCCTTAGTGGCTAAAAGTCAAAAAGACCTCCTTAACCTAAAAACCCATTTTCTCACCATTTTTAATTAAAAAACACCATATAAACACTTTAAAGACATCATTAAACTCATTTATAGTCTTAAATAATCACTTAATCAATCTCAAAATGAAAAAAATAAATCTAAATTTTAAAAACTTCCCTAACCCCAATTTATTTTGTCATGGAGTTTAACTGACAAAAAATACTTCAATGACATTTCTTTCATTGATTGGAACACTTCAACACCAAAAACAACCTTTCTAGTAGTCGAAATGTGGTTAATGGATGACATTCTATCTCCTTATTATTTTCTAGTGACTTTTTCTTTCATTCTCAAATCAAGGATTAAAAAAATAAAAAAAATAAAGTTATAGACCAAAATTTTAATAGAAAAATGAAACAGACTAAAAAGTAACTTTGCCACATCCCCAAGATAAAATTATAAGGAAACATATGAGGACCATTTTGATTATATATATATATAAAGCCTGCCATTTGGATTGTTTCTAGATTTTAGTCCTTTAATTTTTAAATTTTTCTAAATTATAAAATCAAATTATTTTTCATCAAATCAAGAACCAACTCAAAATTGAGATTTTTTTAAAAATCATGATAACTCCATAGAAACAAATATAAATAATTTATAAAGCCCAATCCTTAACAAATACAATGTTAAATGATTAAATTAAAAAAAATCAAATGCAAAAATGATTAAAGGATTGAGAAAAACAAAGCCCTTATATGAATCCATGATAACTTGTGAAAAGATGAATAAGAAAATCAGAAGCTATTTTAAATTTCTTCTTAATTTTAATATATAAAGAATCTCAATAATATTCTAGTAATTACAATTCACTTTTGTAATGAATTTTTTATGAAGATTACCCCATTTGTGTTTTGTATAGGATGATTGACAATACGATACTGTCATTAATTTATGATTTGTTGCATAGTTATCAAACATCAGTTAGGTTTGATAGGTCAACTTGATGACTTGTCATTTTAGGATTCTACCCAAGCAAGGTTTACTTTCAAACTACTTTGAGAGTGAACTTAATCAAGCTTAGGTGACTCAATAGAGTAACCTACGACTAGAATAACCTAATGAATCTACTAGTGATATAAGCGACTTAGTCAAAATTTGGATTACACTTATTCAATTTTAAAGAAAAAAATTATATAAAAAATAAAATACACAGGATAGGCCAAATCGTTGACCTTGCAAATTGACACCTACCCAACTTATAACATGAATCATACCCTCAACTAAAATTTATAACTATAATTTGTTGTCAACTAAAACTAATTGCCTCAATCAATCATCAACATTTTCAATTTTATATCATTAACATTTTCTATATTCAATAGGATGGATGAACCTTTTTGAAATATTATATAATGAGTAACATAAATTATATAAAAGCAATATGATTTAATATTTTTTTAATTAATATAGATATCTAGGCCAGTTTAGATGCACATCAATTAATTTCATGGATTTTAAAGTTAATGACCATATAAGCTTCTAGTAGTTTTAAGATTTTAAAAACTCGAATTAATAATTTTTAGAAAACAAATCTAGAATCTAACTAATTAAACTACATCCTTCAGAATTTGATTTAACATCTTTTTTTTTTTTAGATTAACATGGATGTCTGGGTCAGCTTGCGGGTATTACGACTAATTTCACGATCCCAGAAAGAATAAACTTTTTAATCCCAAATTCTTACCACTTGACCACCACCTAGATAGTTATTTAACATCTTTCTTCAACACATTAGTTAGTGTTCTTAGAAAAACTATACAATAAACCAAAAATAAAAGGGCAAAGCATGGAACCTTCTATCAACCATAACTTTGTCTTTTGAAAGTGAGCTTATTTGTTTGTCAGGCTGAGCTTTCCTTCGTTTGATTAATAAGTAAATAAATAATAAGTATAAATCATATCAAGCTGGACATTATGAGAGCTCGACACCATAATTTGGTTGTATCCCATTTGCTATGTCTTCACAAACGACACATCTTCAGGTCAATCTAAATAAATACAATTCAATACAATATATACACAATAAATGCTCTCGATTCCGACTTCTCGTATGGAACCCTCTATTTAAGATAGTATTAATCTTAAATTGATAATAAATTGCAGGTTCTTTTCCATAACTATTTTTAGATTCATTTTCCCTTCTCCCTTTTCATTTCCTTTTCTTTTTTAATAATAAGATTAGTGTTCTTTAACCATTTTAATAGTAATACATTAAGAACATCAAATGAGATTTATACAAAATCATCAAATTTAAAATCGCATAAACAAGATTCTAAGCTCCATTGCTATAACCCTATTAATATTAGAGTATGTATTGATATTGTAATAACAATTATTTTATAAAAAAAAATTGTTTAAAAATATATTTAAAATCTATTTTTTTATAAATATGTAAAAACATAAAAAATAATTAAATAATAAAAATATTAAATAATATTTTTTTTCCAAAAGCTTTTGAAATGCAATAAAGTTCTAATATCTCTCTTAAAAAAATATAATTCAATCCTCGAAACCTCTTGTTAGTTTTTATTTTATTTTATTTTTATTTATAAAGATGTACAGAAATAAAAATCATAAATGAAAACTTTAATTACTAATAAATAATAATCCTACCTCACATCAAATCAGGCAGCCTGTGGTTGAGACCTATCTTGGTATTGTCTTCGCACAGGACCCTGGTGACGGCCTGTCCTGTGCCTTTAACAATACATGATTCTCTTAATCATAAATTCTAATGAGGTAAAACGTTAAACATCTGTGCCGGCTTGTCATTAATTATTAAAACCGACCTGGGGTGTTCTCTGCCTAAGATCCAAGATATGTTAATTTAGATTAATTATTTTTTATGAGTTAATACAATATCGCTTAAGAAATAATAAATCGTAATCAGATAATCACAAGTCTCACCTCTGAATGAATTATTTTTTTAGACTTGATCGATCCACCATAACTGTGATTCCTCAAATCATTGACATCTTGTCGTATATTTTAAAAAACCCACTCAAATTTGAATTTCCTAGCTCAATCATGCAAATAAATTCTGTAATTTCAATTCATAACCGTTCAGAAAAAAAGGAAAAAAATCCAGTTCACTCGTATTTATTCTTCAGTTTTGTGCTGATAGTATAAATTAAAGGAGAAGAAGAAGAAAGATTGCCACCAAGAAATTTCTACAATCATGAATAATAATTTGGCCTTGATTATCTTAATATTTTAACGGTGAAACCAAGAGCTGATGAATTATATAGATGACAAAATGTAGAGAGTTTTTGTATTATTCTATAATTAGAAATTACTTTAAAGAAAGCAGCAATCAGCTTGCTAGTTCTTGTCAATTTTTTTAATAATAACCAATTCCGTTATAAATAAATTTAAAAAGCCAGACAAAGAGAAAGAGATCAGTGTGAAGTTTACTGTACCATGGCTGTAAACGGAGCTTGTTTTTTCGCGGCCGGTTTTCCAACGACGGTCCGTTGTTGTGCAAAACCATCGTCTTCCGGTAAATTCAAACCGAATCCAGCGGTGGCTAATACGACTCGTCGTTTTGCTGTTTCGACAGAGGAATCGATAACAACTGAAACGACAACGGATTTTGTAGAGGATGGAAGGTTGAAGAACAAGGTGGTGGAAGGAGAAAACATTAACCCATACGTATTGGAGTTGGAGAAAACTGAATTGGAGTATAAAAGTAGTAGAAAAAGTTTGAATGATTATTTTGAGGAATCCAGAAATTTCATCAAATCAAGCGGCGGCGGTGTTGGTGGTCCGCCTCGGTGGTTCTCTCCTTTGGACTGCGGGTCGCGCTTGAATAACTCTCCTCTCCTCCTCTATTTGCCTGGTCAATCCTTTTAATCAACTCCTTATTTTAATTAATAATGATAATTCCTTTAATCCATTTTATTCTTTCTGTGGTTTTTTTAATTATTATTATTATTAATAATATTTTGCAGGGATTGATGGCGTCGGTCTGGGCCTTCGCACGCATCATTCAACTCTTGGAAAGTAAGAGTTAATTAAATTTTTATCGGCTTAATTTTATAGATTTTGCGGGTATAATTTTCAACCAGGAAAAAAGGACCATAATTAATGCTTGAAACTGTGCCGGGAGTTGGATTATCCAAATGAAAAAAATAAAAATAATACCAGGATTATTACATATCCTTTCGTTGTTTAATGATGAAATGTTAATGATGGTATTGATCTTGGTGCCCTGTTTTGGACATTGAAACTAGGATTTTCAACCTATGGTGCTTGCATATTCCAGTCAAGGACAGAACATCTTTTCTAGGTCCTCTTTTGTCCTGCCCTGTCACTACCTTGATACATCACTGTGTAACAGACATTAAATTTTGTATGCCTGGTTGGATTTCTTAATGCACATATGTTGAGGGAAGTTTTCATGGTTCAGGACTAGTGAAGTTGGTGGAGAGAACAGTAAGATCGGAGAATCACCGTTCACCTAGTAAACCTATATATCTCGTCGGAGAGTCTCTTGGAGCCTGCCTTGCGCTTGCTGTGGCGGCTCGCAACCCTGACATTGACCTCGTCCTTGTTTTGGTTAATCCAGGTGAAGATCCTTGCATCCTTATGTATCATTGGTGGGAGTTCGAAATTTAGTGTTTTTCCTGTGTTTAAGAGTGTCTGGAGATAGAGGGAAATGGCCAACAATGGCATCATGTGAAACAAGTCTGTAGGATGTAGCAATGGGGCACTTTGTATGTAGCATGACCTTCTTTCTGGTTGGAAGTGAAATGTTCAATGTCAAAAACATTTTCCAACATACCCTCTTAGAATTAAAATTATTTAATTTTAAAACTTATATAATTTATATAAATTTATATTATTTTATGTTTAATTTTTATTAAATAAATAAAAATAATAAAATTTAAATTTATTATTGGATGATTATTAAGATTCTAATACCGTGTTAAAAAATCAATTTACTTGAAAATTTAAATTGTTAAATAATATATTAAAATATTATTTATATTATTTTTTAATACTTAATTTATTGTCGAGGTAGCTTACTTAATTCAAGAGGATCTTGTTAGTTAGTAGATACTTTATTTACTCTGTATTTGTTTGATCTTTTCACTGCAGCAACATGTTTTGAGAAGTCACAACTGCAGCCTCTTGCACCTTTGTTAGAGATCATGCCCTTCCAACATCAGTTCGGCCTGCCTTATATTCTGAGCTTAATGACAGGTCCAATCTCAGTGTTCATAGAATTACAGTTTATGCTTTTGTCAGTTGCTTGAGATGCATATTTGATTTTACCAAGTTTGATTTCAAAATGTGCTAATGGGTGTCATTTTTCAAGAAATTCTAAAACAATAATCTTCAAAATTGCTTAGGTTGGGCAAGGGATAGATGAGTGTTGGAACTATTTTGCTGTGGTGCACACCTTCAGAAGCTTGGTGTGCATTGCTTGGTTAATATCACATAGGTCTTGTGCTCCAAAGATGGTGGTGGCACCTTCAATATTATTAAAACAACTAATTTGTGTGGCGTCGGTTTACCTATTTATATGAACAATAAATATCTAAGCTTGATGTATTATCTTTATATGTTCAGTTAACAAATTTACATCTAAGCTCAATGGTTCCCATGTAGCGGTGATAACCTGAGAATGTAGGTTCGGACAACATGCTTGATGAATTATTTTCTAGAAATAATGTGAGGTTGTGGGTTGGATCAACAGGGGCAACAATATATTTATTTATAATATAAACTACATGTTATTTGTTTTTTTTAAAAGAAGATAAATGACAAAAAAAAAAAATGAGGCCAGGCTTAGAGGCTTGCTCAAGCCCTCGTGCCTAGGTTTTCGTTAAAAAATTTATTTGTTTTTTCAAAAAATAAATAAATAGAATAAATGATAAAAAATAATACAAGTTCAGGCATGCAAGCTTCACTCAGACCCTTATGACTAGATTTTTGTTAATATATTTAAAAAAATAAAAATAAATAAAAGATAAAAAACGTATAAGCCCAGACCTGCAGGCCTTGCTCAAGCCTGCATGCTTCGGCTTTTGTTAACAAGTTCATGGTTGAATTAATTGGTTATTTTTATTTTTATTTTTTTTATTTTTTAATATAAGTTTTTTATGTTATTTTTTATTTATCAATTATATCATTTAATATAAGGTTTTTATTTTATTTTATTTTTTATTATTGAGTTAATGGTAAATTATTTATTTTATTTTTATTATATAATAAAATTTTGTTGTTTTTTTTAATTTTTAGTTTTTTTAATTACATTATTCAATATAAAGTTTTTATTTAATTTTATTTTTTAGTATTGAATTGATTTTTTTCTTTAAATCTATCCAGTAAATAAAATCATGTTAAAATAACTTTTATATAATTTATTTTAAAACTTGGCTTAAGAAATTTTTCAACTTTAAACCATTATACCAAATTTCATAACAATGCAAAAAAGTTTTTGTTAGTCGTGGGTGATTCTGATGCCATTTCATGAAAATTAAGAACCCATCTACTTTCTGCTATCTGATTAGGAATAGGTGCAAAATTAGGTGATCAAGTATCAACGCACACCTGGAGGCAAGCTGAGCTTCTTTCTGCAAGCCATCTCCTTGTTATTTTTATTTATTTATTCTAAGAGAATTGGAGTAAAATATAAAGTATTGAACAATTTCATGTTATTATAGCTTCCACTAGATTTTGATGCAATATTATATAGTGCAGAAGTGGTAGATTATTATAAGACATCGACTGTTGAAAATCTAAGTCTTCGATCGACTTTGTGCTTTTCATAATTGGTGTGAGGGGCGGAATTGAAAATTTTAACTGGGCCATCATGAAAACTATAAGGTTTGAGAGCAAGTATTTTATTTTTAAAGGGGCTAAATGCATAATTGAAGAAAAAATTTATACATATAGTGCTATAAATTTGGTAAACAGTAGCAAACAGTTGATGACGGCCCATAAGTTAGAAAATTCTATGCATCTTTCATGAACTTGGACCAGCTACAATGCACGTATCTGGTTTCCATGCTTACAGGTGGAGAATGTTTCAAGGGAGTAAATAAAAACATCCACTTCTTTTAATGCAATGGAAGTTAACGAATGAGGGTTAATGTTTCGAAGTAAGAAGTTACAGGCCTAATGATCATCACCGGTAGTTTTATTATGCATAGATACTGGAAACTACAGCAAGCTTGGGGGTGCCAAGCTCCCCACAAAGCTTGCCGTGGATCCGCCCCGTGAGAGCTGTATCTGTAGGCTTTGTAGCAAGTCCGAGTTCTGTCTTAGTTGCTTATTTATATGCAAAGTTGGGAGTGATTTTGCAGAAGTCAATAATTTCTTTTTTCAGAAAAAGTAGCTTGTTTTTTATTATTCATGCTACTAGTTTTCCCAGTTCACACCATTGATTGTGAGGTATACATTTAGGTGATCCTTTGAAGATGGTAATAGATAATGCGAGAAAGGGAGTTCCTCTACTGGAAATAGTTGAAGGATTATCACAAGATGCTGTCGTGATTCCATCTAACCTCGATGTAAGACGATACACTGTTTACTCAAATTGTGAAGAACTCCTTTATTTCTCCTATGATGGTAGACATGATTAGCATAAAATCATCTAAACTGTTGAAAAATGAAACATAGACATTGCTAAACCACCTGTTGGTGTTCTTTGGCATGCTATGGAGTGTCTTGTCGTTCTTGTGAAACTAAATAGAGTGATTGTTTCTGCTACAGGTTTTAGCTGCTCTCCTACCTAGAGAAACACTTCTATGGAAGCTAAATATGTTGAAAGTGGCTTCAAAATTTGCAAATTCACACCTCCATGCTGTAAAAGCTCAAACACTTGTACTTTCTAGGTCTTTCTCTTTTGCAATCCATTGTGTTACAATAGTTTCTTGGAAATATATAATCTCTGTGCAAGTCCGTTGAGATTTTTATAATATTTTGAAATAGCTCAAGACAACAAAAACCCCAGAATTCCTCTGTTTTTAAGGTCTGCAAAATGCTTAGTTGTAGATTTATTGACTGTATCTTTATTGAATAGAAGAAACCTGAAATATCAAAAATCTCAGACTACATTAAATTGGTATCCTCGCTCACTGTTTATTGAATATAAACAGCTTCGTTTGTGAACGCCTAAATAAAGGCCATAAGTTACCCTTATCATTTGAATTGCAGAATGAACATCCGCAGTTGTTTTTATTCAATAAACAGCAACATTTCTTTATCATTGCATCGCATTTGAATTCGAGTCAATGGAAGTCAACAGCCATTTGCATGTAGAATGACAGCAGGAACTTCCACACACACATATATTTCTTCTTTTTATTTAATGAATGCAAATGTCATGTTTCCTGGATGTGGTGGTGCTTTTTGTTTTTGCCCCTTCAAGTCCGATAATTTTCAAAATGATGAGGTTGTGTTCATTGTTTGTCCTTTTTAGCGGAAGGGATCAGTTGCTGCCAAGTGAAGAGGAAGGTCAAAGACTTAATCGTGTTCTTCCAAAGTGTCAGAATCGCAGTTATAGTGGAAGTGGTCATTTTCTTCTCCTGGTAAAAAAAAAAAAAAAAAAACTCTCTCTTTCTGTTTGTGCATCTAAAATATATCGCGTGTCAGCAGTTGCCTTCCAAGTTTTTTTAAGAAAAAAAGTGCTCAATTTTGGCAGGAAGATGTCTTTGATTTGGCAACTCTCATCAAAGGTTCTGCTTTTTATCGTCGCGGAGCACACCAAGATTATGTTTCGGATTATGTACCACCAACCCCTTTAGAATTTAAACAAATATACGAGCCAAACAGGTACTATCATTTTGCCATTTTATAGAGATAAGTTGTAATTCCTGTTTCTCAAAACCATACAGGATCGTGTGCTATGGTAGTATATTTTGTAGTAGATAATGGTTACTTCAGTAGTCGTCATTTTACAAAGTTTCTGTAATTAAGGTGGAGTGAATAATGTTTATCATGAGTAATCCTTTCTCTCAATTGTGATGTTTTAGGTTGTTTCTGCTTGCCATAAGTTCTGTCATGCTCTCAACCTTAGAAGATGGGAAGATAGTGAGGGGCCTTGCGGGAATCCCTTCGGAGGGACCTGTTCTGTTCGTTGGTTATCACATGTTAATGGGATTTGAGCTGGCCCCGATGGTATCCAATTTTTTGTTGGAAAGAAATATTTTTCTGAGAGGTTTAGCTCATCCAGTTCTATTCATAAGAACCCAAAAAGAGCGATTGCTACCTCCATTGTCACAGTTTGACACATTTAGAGCAATGGGAGCAGTTCCTGTTTCAGGAACCAATTTATACAAACTTCTAGCTTCAAAGGCTCATGTGTTGTTGTACCCAGGAGGTGGCCGTGAGGCCTCTCATCGCAAGGTAACTCTGAATGGTTGAATTTTGTCATCGTAATCAAAACTAAATTTTGAAAGAAGTTCCACATTCATATTGTTCATGAATTAGAATTTTCATCTAATGATTGCAATCCTATAGTAGCATAGCATTATACCATCCTTCTAGTACTCTGCCACCCTGAAGGAAATTGTTTCAGAAAATAGGAAGACAGTGAAGTAATGATGGCTCTTCTCCTTTTCTATTAGCTCACACAAGATGAGAAGAACCTCGTGATTAATTTGTATTGAGACATGGCACCATTGGTTCTTTCATGATATGTTTCCTCCTCTTAGATTCTAATTGCTAATGTTTTTTAGTTAATATATCCTGTATGATGTCAAGTTGCCGATTTCAACTGTATATTGTCCTCCACTCCACAAAAATTGTGATTTAGCATTGATTTACTGAACGGAAAGGAAACTCAGGTCTGTTTCGAGTAGGTTGGGTGTATCGTGTTGCTATTAAAATGATAAAGTATTTTGGATTCGAAAAGCTCAAAGCCTCAAATAGTTTGGATTTCTAATCATTTCATACTTCTCAGGGTGAACAATACAAGCTGTTCTGGCCAGAACAGTCTGAGTTTGTTAGGATGGCAGCTAGGTTCGGAGCAAAAATTGTGCCATTTGGTGTTGTTGGAGAAGATGATTTTGGTGAAGTAAGAAGCCCTACTACTTTATTTGTTTCCATCTGTTCATTTCTAGCCAGCAATGTTCTTCTGTGTAGCGATTGTTTTTTTAATTGTCTTGTTATATGAATATACCCTGCTGAATGATGAATGATTTAATCGTTATCCAAAATGGCATTTGTCATCAAAGTGTGCTAGAAATGCTTGATGTGGTAAAACGAGCAAAAACTAAAATGACAGCAGTCTCTTCATGAACTTACTAATGCTGCAAGGGAGTCGCATAAAAGCTTGTGATCTCAAGTTTACTGGTATTTATACATGTGTTGGGGACAGTGGCGGAGCCACAATGGAGATTAGGGGGGCAATTGCCCCCTAATTCTTTTTTTTTTTATTAAAATATTTTTTATTCTCCTTAATTTTTTTAAAAAAATATTTTTATATTAAAAATTTAATATAATAATTTAATAAATTTTTCTCTTTTTTTTTGAATTATTATTCCTACCTTTTTTTCTTCTATAATTGTTTTTCAAGTTCTAAACCATTAATTAGTTAAGTAAGTAATTTTTTATACTTTATGCTTAATGTTTTAGGTGAGTTTCCTTTATTTATTTTTTTTTTATTATTTAATTTTAATTTTATTCCTTAATAATATGATAATTTATTAATATGTGTATGTATAATATTATATGCATATAAATATAAATTGAAATGAGTTTTGATTAATTAATATGTACTTTTTTATGAATTTCATATGAAAAATGATAGCAATCAACGTATTAGTGATTAAAAATAAAGTACTGAATAACTCAAAAAATCAAGGATGCAATAAAAAATTAAAAAAATATATTAATATTTATATTTAACCCACTTGTGTAAAATAACAAATCAATAAAGAATTGTTACCAATAATTTCACTAATCCCTAAAAGATTTAGAAATAGATGAATGAAAGTTTAATTATATATATTGAGAAAGAATATCTTTAATGAAACTAATAATGAAGTCATTATTAAGCAATTTTAAAATATAAAAACTTGAAAAAATAATTATAATGTAATTTTTTTTTTATTTTAAAAATATTTTTAAATTAATTTTGTTTGACATGAGTTAGTACATGCATTTCAAATTGATTTCTCTATATATAACACATATCTATATTGTTGGTTATCGGGTTAGGCTTAGTTTGCCGATGATAGATAAGCATGGTCTAAGTTATTAGAGAAATTACTAAAAAAAATAATCGTCTCCTCTAATCATATATAAAAGGACATAACTCCTATGAAAGAATAAAAAGTTTTTATTATTGAAAGAATATAATTTTTTTTTCATCTTGATTCTCTGCATTGACTTGACAAGATGTATAAAGATATTTACATCGTAAAATATCATTTTAGTTCTAGTAATTGAAGTGATACTAAAGTAATTGATTTAGGAATAAAAAAATAAAATTTTATAAGTTTTTCTTTCTAATTTACATATATAATATATAATATCAAGCATGTATAACTTGCCCTTTCGTTTATAATTTTCATAATTTTCTGGCTTTGACACTGGCTAGGGACTGACACCATGCATTACTCACCTGTGTCGAATTCAAAATCTCTCAAACTAGCTCCAAAATAAGCTCTACTATCTAAGAAATAATCGGTTCCATATTCATCAACTCAGGTTGTTTTTGACTATGATGATCAAATGAGGATTCCGTTCCTTAGGGATTACATAGAAGCAGTAGCAGATGAACTGGGTGTGAGAGTGAGGTATGTTTACTGAGATCATTAAATCATTTTGCTACCAAATCCTTATTTCAAGTTCCCTTTCCCTTCCTTTCCTTTTCAGCTTTTCGTTTTAGAGATATCATATTGCTGTGATGACAGGACTGAAGAAGATGGTGAGGTGGGAAATCAAAATATGCATCGTTTGGGAATTTTACCAAAATTTCCAGGCAGGTTCTATTACTACTTTGGAAAACCGATAGAAACAGAAGGTATGTTCATTGGTCACCCCTTGTATTTAAACCCCAGAATACATAGCATAAATTCAATCAATCACTGTGACCAATTTCAAGGACCCAGTTCACTTTGGTAGCTGATAATTAACTTAACTAGGGCAGGTGTCATTGAAAGTTTGTAACTTTTGCTTAAAATTCTTAATGCAAGGAGGTTTCATTGAATATTTGATCATATTTGTTGTGAAGGGAGGAGGCATGAATTAAGAGACAGGGAGAAAGCTCATGAATTATACCTGCAAATCAAATCTGAGGTGGAGAAGTGCATTGGTTTTTTGAAGGAGAAGAGAGAGACCGATCCTTATAGGAACATATTGGCCCGACTATCTTACCAGGCCACGAACGGCTCTACGTCTGAAGTTCCAACATTTGATATTTGATTCTTCTGCTCAAATGAAAATTGATTTTCACGATGCTGATCTCGAAGAAGCTCAAGATCTTTTAGTGGGATAATGGTAGCTGGGGTATCATGTAACTTACAGGGAATTATAAGAAATTTCATATATAGTTGAAAAACGACTTTCAGCCACCTTTCTGGTTTTTTTTTTTTTTCTAATAATAAAATGTTCCACTTGCCCCATGCATTAAGATATATTTATTAACTCTTAAACACATTAGTTTCTTTGTAAATCACAAAAGGAATTAAGAATAAAAACCATTCTCGGGACCCATTTCCTGTTTTGCGTTGTGATCTTCCTCTTCGTACACGTCATGATGCTCTCTTCTTGAAGTTCATGCTTGATTTTTCTTCTCTCCTCCAGTGAATAATCCAGGTTTTGGTATGCAATCGCTTCTGTATCAATGGTTTTCTTCGAACTGTTTTCGGATATTGTCAGCAAATCATCTCCTGTTTCACATGATGACTGATGTTAGAGCTCAAAGAAAACCGAAATCCAGAAAAATAGTTTCTAGTCAAAGTTCTGTTCTAATTCTGATACAGGACAGCTTGTCATTGCTACAAAACAGCTTAAGGAAGGTTGCCATGAACTGAATTACAAGCTTACTGGGATTACTACCATGCACGAAGTGCCAGCAACACTTTCCTTATTAAACTTATATTCGTAGTTGGGCCTTTAATGCTCAAAAATCCTCTTTGATGAGGGAACATAAATCCTCTTTGATGAGGGATTTTCCTGTTACCCCTTAAATTTCCTATGTCATTCCGTAAGTTATATTCGAGTAGGATTAGGGACAGCAAGCTTATAAATACTAGCAGCCACCCACTCAGAAAAACACTTTGGATTTTGAAATAATAATTCTCTTACAGAAACATACTTGTTACTCGTGGATTCGGGTACTTATTATTGTTTGTGGATTCAAGCAGACTACATAAAAAAAGGTGGTGTTCTTTTTATATGTTTTCGCTACATCAGTTAGTATCAGAGTAGGTTTATTGTTATTCAAATGTCAAACACACTGAATGAACAAGAAGCCCTTGATGGCGGAAGTCGTGAAAACAATGTAATCACGCAAGCAGAATTTAGAGCTTTCCAGCTTGAAACCCAGTAAACCTTGCAAGCAATACAGGCAACTCTTGCTAGATTAACAACTGGAAATAATCAGCAGCGTGAGAATGAGAGGGTCCGTGAGGATTACAAGGAGTGGATTGCCCCTGCTCGTGAACATAATCCAATTCCACATAGGCAGCTAGCCTATGAGGAAGAAATAAGTGATGATGAAGAATATGTTGAACGCATATTGAGACCCAATCGACAAGGCTATCACAATATGAGAGAACGAGGGCCTCAATCATTTCAAATGAAGATGGACCTACCCAGCTTTAATGGTCAACTTCAGATAGAAGGATTCCTCAATTGGTTGGCAGTTGTGGAGAGATTCTTTGACTACATGGAAATCCCTGAAGACAAAAAAGTGAAGCTAGTCACCTATAGACTAATGGGAAGAGCCTCCACTTGGTGGGAACAATTGCAACTCACACGAATGAGACAGAGAAAAGGGATGGTTTAGACCTGGTAGAAGATAAGGTGACTGCTGCGTTACAGATATTTGCCACCAGATTATGAGCAAATACTGTTGAAGTAAACTCAATCTAGAAGGTCAAAGAAGGCAACCACCAGCTGTCACTGCCCAACCATCCAGCCGCCAGCTGCGAGCCGCTTTCATACCATCGGTCACAGCAGCCTTCACACTTGAAGGTTGAATTTTCTTGTTTTGAATTCGTGTATAAATAGCTAGCTGAGTTTATGTTATAATATGTGGAGAGATTTGAGAGAAACACTAGAGAGAAAGAAAGGGTGTGCATTGTAAGCTTTTGTTTATGTTGTAAGCTTGTTGTTCTTGAAATAAAACAGTGTGTTTTATCCCCTCCAAGTGTTTCAAAGCCACCACAAGTGGTTTCTCCTACCAACAATTGGTATCAGAGCCTCGTTCGTCACAAAACAGAAGATTTTTTTAGATATATCTGAATTTTCAAAGTTGTCAAAAACACATTTTGATCATTCCAAAGTGTAGAGCTCATCCATACGAACTCAACGGCGTAAAAATCAGATTAATCAAGCCCACGCGCCCCGAGGAAGAAGACGACCGAGCCGAGCTCCAAGCCATATTCCAAAGCCGAGCTGAGCTCCAAGCCATATTCCGAAGCCAAGCCAAAAAGAATATTCCTTGAAATATTCCCGGTTCAACCCAACGAACGCTCGAATTGGTTTTTAGACCGGTTTACCCCATTTCTAACCCATTTTCTACAAAGTCAGACTGATTCCTTACTATTTAGACCATTCCGGATCCATCTACAGTGTTGTTTTTGCCAAATTCAACTCCTAAAAGGTGATATAGTCATTTAAAGAGAAAAATTCTATAGAAAATGCATAAACACTCATCCCGAAGCTAATTAAAGACAACTATGATAGTTGGTGCATCAGATTGAAGGCATTCCTTGGTTCACAAGAGTGTATAGACATTGTGCAATATGATTATGATGAACCAGAGTCCAAAGAATCAGAAGATGCTCTACCAGAGGCACAGAAGCAAGTCCTTAAAGCCAATAGAAAGAAAGACAACAAAGCAAAGACCATTATTTATCAAGGTCTTGATGAAGCAACATTTGAAATCATTGCTTCCGCAAAAACATCAAAAGAAATATGGGAGGCTCTCCAACAAAAATACAAAGGTGCTGACAGAATAAAGAAAATTCATCTCCAATCTTTGCGAGGTGAATTTGAATTGTTATAAATGAAGTCCTTAGAATCCATTTGTGATTATCACACAAGAATTATAGTGATAGTTAATCAGATGAGAAGAAATGGAGAAGCCCTCACAGATACTCGGATTACTGAGAAAATTTTGAGATCCCTAGATCCAAAATTTAATTTTGTTGTTGTCGCTATTGAAGAGTCCAAAGAAGTGGACAAGTTGATAGTGGATGAACTTATGAGTTCTTTGCAAGCTCATGAGTAGAAGATTGTAAAAAGAAATGGAGATAAGGCAATTGAGCATACCTTACAAGCAAAGTTGTCTCTTAAAAACATATATGAGCAAGGGGAGACTTTAACAAGTGGATACACCACTCGAGGAAGAAGTCAACAAACATGAGGAGGATTTCAGCAATTTCAATGCAGAAGTTCTTGGAATACAGGTTTTAGAGGAAGAGGTGGTAGAAACACCACCAAAGAAGGTCGAGGACAACAAGCATTCACTCCTAGAGGAAGAGGAGGCGGTTATAATAACCGTGACAAGAAGAATATTCAGTGTTATAATTGCAATCAATTTGGGCATTATAGCACTGAATGTCAAAGGAAAGCTCCATTAGAGGTACGTGAGCATACCAACTATGCAGAGGAGGATGCCAACAATAGAGGAGCAGCTGCATTATTTACCCAACAAGGACTTGGTAAGAATCAAGAGAATATTTGGTATCTTGATTCTGGAGCCAGCAATCACATGTGTGGCCAACGAGATTTATTTGGTGATCTAGATGAGACCATACAAGGTTTTGTCACCTTTGAAGATACCTCAAAATTTTCATTCAAAGGTAAAGGCAACATCTCAATCAAGTTAAAGAATGATGATCATAGCTACATCACTTATGTCTACTATGTCCCAGTCATAAAGCAAAACTTGGTGAGCATAGGTCAACTTTTGAAGAGAGACTATACATTTTACATGAAGAATTGTCATCTGACAATTACAGACTACAATGGGAGATTAATTGCCTATGTGAAAATGTTCAAGAATAGGATGTTTTCTTTAAACATCCAATATGATGCAGCAAAGTGTTTAAGTGTCATCACCAACAGTGAAGAATGGCTTTGGCATCTAAGGCTTGTACATCTGAATTTCACAAGTCTGAAGATGCTAGCAAGCAAGAAGATGGTCAAAGGTATGCCCTACATTGATCATCAAGAAGAAGTCTATGAGAGTTTTGTTCTTAGCAAACATCACAAATCCAATTTTGCCAAAGAAGTTAACTAGAAAGCAAAGAAGCCACTGGAGTTAGTGCACACAGATGTGTGTGGTCCTATAAAGCCTATGTCGAATGGACAAAATAGGTACTTCCTCACTTTCATTAATGATTTTAGCAGAAAGACATGGGTATATTTTTTAAAGAGAAAGTCAAAAGTGTTCAATTATTTTAAAGATTTTAAAGCAATTGTTGAGAAACAAAGTGGCTATAAGATCAGAACCGTGAGATTTGATGAAGGTGGAGAATATACAGCAAATGATTTTGAAGCCTTTTGTACACAACAAGGCATCAGACATCAGACAACACCAACTTATACACCACAACTGAATGGTGTAGTTGAGAGGAAGAATCAAACGATTATTGACATGGCAAGAAGTCTACTCAAAGCAAAGAAGCTGCCCAAGCAATATTGGGCTGAAGCTGTATCATGTGCATTGTATCTACTAAATCGCTGCCCAACTAGAAGTTTGCAAGTTGTCACTCCATAAGAAGCATGGAGTGGTCACAAACCAAGTGTTACTCATCTCCGAGTCTTTGGTTGTGTGGCATATGCAAAGATCCTAGATGCAAGAAGGACCAAACTTGATGATAAAAGTGAGAAATGCATCTTTGTCGGATACGGTGAGAGAAGGATGGGATACAAGCTGTATAATCCCATCACAAAGAAGGTAATTATGAGTACAAATATTATCTTTAAAGAAGATAAAACTTAGCAATGGAATGATGACTAAGAAGCAGTTATATGAATCAACATTGATTTGATCTTTAAAGATGAAGAAGTACCAACAGTACTTGCAGAAGGTCCAATAGTACCAGAAGATGAGCCACAAAGTCCGATACATAAATTTCCTGTATTCAACAGGAGAAACACACTAAAATCATCATCAACACCATCATTACCAAAACCATCATTAGCATCCTCATCAGAAGGACTAAGAAGGATGAGAAATCTAGAAG